CGTTTAGCGTGGTGTGCCATTATGTCCGCTCGGATCACGTTATGCATGCTTACCGGTAATACACAATAGCCTCGTATGCTGGCTTTGGACTGCTGAGACGGCCGTGCGTCACGCCAGCGGATGCAGGACTTCGGACGGCGTTGCGGTGGCGGGGGAGCGGTCAGTGTGGCGTTGGCGTGGGAATGACGATATAAGGCGGAACACGGTGGAAGGTCGTCCGGGAGGCCGATCTTCTATCTGTCCTCCTCACCATCTCATGCTGCTGCACTGCTGTCACCGTGGCGGGCGGTGTCTGGGAGTGGTGCCGTCTCCGCGCAAGCCGTTCTCAGGCTGCACCAGCGCACCAAACGCTGGTGTGAGCAGACACCCGGCACCCAACAGGTTGCGGCAGTTGAACAGGGAGGGGGAGCTGGGATCCATTAGCAGATCGGAACGCTCGACGCGTGCTTGCATACACATGTAAACAGCGCGCTTCCGGCGAGGGGCGGAACCGTGCTGTTGGGGGTCGAATTCTGCAGACCGGTGGTGAGCTGGTGCGAGGAAACAAGATGTCCCTGGCTGTTCATGTACGTCGACAGGCTTTGGTTGCTTCCATTGCGTGTAGGCATGTAGCATATATATATATATATATATATATATATATATATATATATATATATATATATATATATGTGGGGGGGGGGGTGGGGGTGGGGTGTGGGTGGGTGTGGGTGTGTGTGTGGGTGTTGTGTGTTGGTGTGTGGGGGTGTGGGGTGGGGGTGGGTGTGTGTGGTGTGTGTTGTGTGTGTGTGGGGGTGGGTGTGTATACCAGTATGTAGGTATGTATGTATTACATGTACACTTGTATGGGTGGGACGCTTCATGCGATTCACGGGCTGCGTTGCGTTCTCGCCATCACCCGGCATGTTCTCGCCTTGTGCCTCACTTTCATCCTAATTTTGTCAGAGGCGTAGGTGCGGTATAGTCGGCGGCATAGTCTCGCCAAATAAGTTTGGGCGGCCGAACAAGGGAAAACGACTTAACCTGACCCCAAAATAAAAACGGACTTTCCCAAAATGTTGATCCACGTTGCCTTCAACTCGGGGGCCGCCATCTGAACAAGAAAACTACGCCTGGATACAGCGGACCGGGCACCCCAGGAACGCCTGCTGCACATCAGATCTGGGCCACTATTATTAATCTACGACCAAGCTCTCATGTAACACCATGCGTTTGGGCCGCGTCAGAATGCGTCAAAAAACTAGCCCTTGTTTCTAGGAGAAGTCAGCGGTCAAACTTGCCTTTCTTCGCGCTGCTGCTGCCGCCGTGGCGCGCGGCGCGGTACCGCAGCGCGTGCAGCACCTACGCGCCAGCGCCCGCCGTCTGACCATCTTCGACGTGCACGCCACGCTGCGGCACCCGCTGGCCGATAAAGGCGCTGCGCCCCGGCATCGCTGGTGCGAGACGGCCGGCATCAGCGCGCGCTGGTGCAGGCGTTCGAGGAGAACGTGGTGCGGTTTGTCTCCACGCCCGGCCTGGGAGAGTTTGAGGCCACCGTGCGCAGCCGGGGCGGTGTCTGCACCGCCCGAGGAGCTGCTCTCGGTGGTGGACGTGTGTCCCGGCTGGACGTCTACCGCGGCCAGAGCAACTGCCTGAAGCAACGCCTCGACGAGATTAGGTTTTGGTGCTGTCAGGGCTTCGTCTGGGTGGCATAGGTCCTGAATGCCTCAAAGGGAGTGCTCCACATTCGCATGGGGTTTTGACTTGAAATAGCCACCTTAAAGATCATTCGGTGGAGTCACGGCCCTGCCGTTCCTAAGACTCAAGCGCTTCTAGTTTCTGAAACTACGCTCACGCGAGGATGCGCAGACCACTTCTGGGGAGACTATTTCAGGATCACCAAGGCATTCATGACGCCATGATAAACGCCTTTCAAATGCTGCCGTTCTATTGGCATGTGAGGATTAGGGTCTATGAAAAAATAATGGTCGAATCATCCATATCTGGCGTTCGTGAGCAGGAGTTCCAGATATACGGGCTGTCAATTGGGTCTCAATCTATGTCGTGCAAGGTACGATGACGTAACCTAGCAATGACGTATTAAGAGCACATTCCTAAACAGAGAAACGATGGTTGTGTAGTGCAGCCTTTTCCACTTTAAGTCTGCAGATAGTTAACAGTGAGCTTAGTTCATCATATCTGATGCTTGTTTCCTTGTCTTTGAATGTGAGACATTCCCTGTTACCCATGACGTCGTCAGTTCGTGCTGTCTTCTAAGCATTTCTTCGTTGGCACTGGTCGCGACTATCCATGGTGCCACAAATTTCCCGAGGGAGAGGCACCTTTTGGCACCCCAGGCGATCGCGGGCTGGTGGGCAGAAAGACTCCAGATAATGTGGCGGTTTATCGCGCCGTGAGTCGTACATTCCAGATTCGATTAAGTCATTCAGGGATATTCGACGGCTCAATGATCTGGGTTATAACAACAATCCCACAGCAGTCTCGAGATAGGATGCATATTAAACACTGCCGGTACCAAACCTGGCTGTCCCGCCTTAGGGCCTGAACCGGTATTGACATAGAAGGCAATACGCATGCCAGTTCGAAACTTTGTTCCGTTTCACAGCGGATTGCCTTCCCCGCACAGCTGAACCAATATGTGTCCAGGTGTGCAGAACCACATCTGTGTGGTAGTACGACTACCTACTGTCGCCCGGCCGACCTTTGTGTGATCCGTGTTATGGCTGCCCCTGGCTGCTGAGTGCGCAGCCACGCGCCGGCGGAATGTATCTGCTGTGCGGAGGACCTTCAGCAGAAACACGAGACTGTACAGCGAATTCGTAGCATTATGTTCGTTCGTAATTCATAATGTTCTACTGCCCCTGATTCGTAGCCAGCGGCAGGCTGGCGAGCGGGTTTGGCTTTTTTTGCGCCGACGAATCCGACAAATTTGCGGCAGGTCACGTGTCACCCTGTTGCCGTTGTTACGTTTACTTCCCACTCGGTTCGGGCGGCAGCGCGTTGCTTTCAAGATCGGTTTCGAAAAACTCGACATTGGTCGCTTCACAATTGATTGCTGACGTCCCTACGGATCGTACAGTGTTGGGCGGCATGGTTGGTTGTCTAGACAGCTCCAGGCACTGTGTCGATTTGTATTCTTTTGGGCGGGCCACTACCACCACCTCCACCAGCACCAAGTTCAGTTTGCCCCCCCCCCCCCACGGTGAGTTTTGCCCCTCCAACATTCTGGAGCCTAGGTATGTACAAGCAAAGAGCCCGAAATTAAAAAGTTTTAGATATCTCGACATAATTGTGTCAAAGGTACGAGGAAACTAAGAAGGTGCAAACTGTGATATGATGTTAAGTCGATGAGCTGATGATGATGATGGATAATGATGATGTATGATGATGATACTGATAATGATGACGATGAGCTGATGGAGCTCGTCAAACTTAGAGCTACGCATGCGTACCATATTCCACTGGAGCATTTTCTGTGTTTCGCTGCATTTTGCTTGTTTTAATTTGAACAATTCAGACGTCTTGCTAATCAGGTCCAGTTTTGTGTATTGTCTGAATGTTTTG